ATTGGAAAAAAAATACAGCATCCATTCTCCAAACATTTATTATTTCTTCAGTTCAAATGATGATCGATTTCTGCTATGGATGGTGATGCTTATCAACCTCTCCACCCTCTTTGGCCCGTGCAGCTGCCCTTATTTTACGCTGCTCCTCCTTGTAAATTCGGTTTCTTCGTTGAAACTGCGATAATAAACATGCAGAGAAACCATGAGCCCAATCAGTATTTACCAATTTAAACCAAAACGAAACAAGTCTGTGTTCATGTATGTACACACAAATCAAGTTATATTATGTGGATTGCATACAACATCTGGGGATTTTGACTAAAACCTCATCTCTCTTTTTTTTTTTAGGTCAACAAAAAAACCTCATCCCTGTAACTGAAAATTCGGATATCAATTGGGTTATGTCCTAAGCCGAACTACATTGCTAAATTGCAAAGTTGCATACTTGTTGTTCAGTAAGTTCAAAAATGTTATGAAATATATATCAATAGTCAAAACCCGAGATGAATAACACATGCATACAATCAAACAAAGCCATTGGATAAATTTATTACCTTGGCAGGGAGAGCTAAAAATTTGAGAGATGAGAATGCCATCTTGATTCAAAATTTCCAAATGTCCTTAAAATTTGGGAAAGCACTATATACCAGGTTATGATGTTCTCCTCACCCCACCCATAAAAGACACAAATTTGAATAATGATAAGAAATTAAGATGATACTACGAAGACAATCATTTATGTTTTTGAGATTTCCCTCCAACTATGAACCTTTTCTGATAGAGCAGAAGTCGAAGTTGCCTATTGTTCGAATTCTATACTTTATGCCAACTGTGTTGACATTTCGCCATTATGTTTAACCTCCTACTCTTAAAATGCTACAGAAAGGTGTATAAAGGCATTGAACTCAACATTTGACATAACATTGAACTATTGTAGTGAATGAAATCCAAAAATATAAAGCACAAACAATAACAACTAAGCATGACAGCCTCGATACTCGAAGTGAGCCATAAAGAACATGAAAAGTAAACCCAAGCAACTCCTAGGTGTCAATCTCCCAAAATAGCTGATAAATAGAATTGTATCTGTTTTTATGCTTGAATTTTGATAGGAGATACATAGAACTGTATCCTGCACTCAGATTGGGTTGTGACCCTTCAAAACTAACTTCACCATTGTGAAACCCTAAGCTTATATTTCCTTGTTGTAGGATATTCCAGAATCTATTTCATGTTTTTTCTGTAGATACTACATCACTTTCTGTGCATGGTAATGGGGAAAAATAGTGGGATCTACTCTTCATTCGACATTTAGATAGGTGATTGTAATATGATCACATGGAGACTTGACCCTGGCTTTGATTGAACACAGCAGGCTTTGATTGAAGATGGACCATTAATTCAAATATAAATCATCTACGAAAATAACTTGTCAACCTTCTAACCAAAAGAAAAACTTGTTTAGCTTTGCAATTTGGAGCTGTTCAGCAGTTTGAAATATTTTCAAAAGCCATTAAAAAAATTGCACAAACAACACCAAGCTTCTACGAGATTGCTTCTCAATGTTTGGGTAATGATTCTAGTTCCTAAATGTTCACAACAACACATACGAGATGTATGAAAAGAAACCATAACTCGACATTTTCGACTAATACATAAAATCAATTTTCATAAAACCTTAAATCAGACTTGAAATTGAGTGGCGGTCGATGCCCTAGGGTTTAGAAACACGACATTGTCTACAGCAAGCTTGAAACACACATCGATGGAACAGTAAATCAATTGAGGGGAACTAGAGCTAAAATTGAACACAGCTGAGCTAGATTAATAATTAATTAATAAATTAATAAATAACCAAACAGTGCCTGAAAATGGAGCTGGTGATTTAAGGTTCATGCGCCGATCTGAGCAATAAATGAGATTAAAACCCTAATTGAAAGAAAAAATTAACCTCTTTGGAGTGGTGAAGACACTCGAGGTAGTCTTCGCGAAGAAGAACACAGTCCTTGGGCTGACGGCAGCGAGACATGCACTCGCTGAAGTCCACCCAGAAATCGTAGCAGCGCCCTTTGTTCCCTGTGATTCCCCAACCCGATGCCATTTTCGTCTCTCACTGAGCGTCGAATCAAATCAATTTGCCGGTAGCGTTGTCGACGATGGTTAATGGGTTCAAAATTAATCGGGATTTAATGGTTGCTTCGCTCAAGCTGCCGCTGACTGTGGGCGGTACCAATGTAAACCGATGGAAATTTTCGCCTGTAAAGACGTCCCAAAAAAATATCAAAAATAGAAAAATGAACAAACTAATCAGTTAATCGTGACCGTCGAATGCGTATTCTTCTTGTAAATGGACGGTGGATTATGAACTATGTTTTGTAAATGGATTTGAGGGTGTATTTTCTGTAGGTTGTATCTTTAAGAAAAAATAGTTTTTGAACCATCTATAGGAGTTATTGAAATTAATCTAATATATGTTAGGGGAATTTGAAATTGGATGTTACGGGGCGAGCTTAGTGACTCACATATGCTCTTCAAGAAAAATCTATAGGAGTTCCTAGCTTTCTCTTTTGAACTAATTTTATACGGGTTTTTTTATTTTTATTTTATTTTTAATTGATGACGGGGTTCGAAATTTGGTCTCTTTTATGAAGTGTAAGCTAAAACTATAAGTTAATTGATTATATGAATTTCGAGGCTTATGGACCAAAATGCCACAAGTCTCTAAGTTAGTTTACAAAATCAAAATTTACTTATCATTTGTTTATATAACTTTGGCTTCCCCTTTTAATTTTAAGGAAAATTAGGTATTAGACATAATTAAGTTTACTAATTAGGAAGTGAGATATTAGGTATTTTAGTTTGGGTTTTAATACTCAATAAAAAATAGCTATTTTAGATTAGGCCCAAGGCTGGCCCAGATTCGTTGGGCCAGCTTAAAAATGTCAAATAAAAAGACAATTCTACCCTTTTCTCTTAAAAAGCCTGGCCCATCTGTAAACCTACAAATTAAATGACGCTTTTGCCTCTCAACGTTTAAACGACGCGCGAGTTCTTCTCTTTCGTTCGTTTTCTTCTTCGTTTCAGAGCTGGGTTCTGCCATTGGAGCTCAATTTTCTTGTAGGTTTTGCTTTTATTTTCTTCGTTTTTCTGTCTTCCTTTTTCTGCTACGTTTTCGTTCGATTTTCATGCTGAATGACTGTCAGTTTTGGGTGATTTCTGTTCTCTTTAGTTCGGGTATTTCGAGCTCAGTTTTGTGGCTCGATTTTGCGGCGCGATCTTGTGGCGTTCAATGCTAAACCCTATATTCTTCGTTTCGTGATCAGATTTGATTTTAAGCTGCTGTTTGGTTGTGGAGATTTTTGGCAGTCCTAAGTTTTGAGGTATGAGTACTTTAGAACCTGTTTTCGATTATGTCGACTTGTATGTTTATGGAATTTAGTTTTAGTACTTTTATCGTGGTTTCCTTTTGGTTTCTATTCGAATTGTTTTGATTTTCTGTCATAAACTACATCTGTCTGCAGTTTCTTGTTCGAGACCAGAAACTGCAGTGCAGTTTCTTGTTCGATAATTCAATTTCAGAATAATTTTTGCAAGTATATTGGAATGTTACAACTGCTGACCTACTTAAATGTGATTTGATATTAGTTTTAGTACTTTGATTATGCCTTTACCTTTTGAGCAGCAGTGCAGATTTTGACCAGAAACTGCAGTGCAGTTTCTTGTTCGAGACCAAAAACTGCAGCGCAGTTTCTTGTTCGATATTTCAATTTCAGAATAATTTTTGCAAGTATATTGGAATGTTACAACTGCTGACCTACTTAAATGTG